TATAAAGAATACAAGCAATAATAAATACTGGAATGGATGTGAGGATAAAGGAACACTTTTACATTGTTGGTGGGATTGTAAATTAGTACAAATGATATGGAAATCAATATGGAGTTTCTTCAAAAGATTAGGAATGGAACCACCACCATATGCCTGGTTATACAACTCTTTGGTATTTATCTTAAAAATTCAAATCAGCATAGTATCGTGGCACATACATACTCATGTTTATTGCAGCCTATTATGGTTTAGATACTAGGTGTCCTCAAAAGATCATGTGTAAGACAATGCAATAAAGCTTAGAGGTGAAATGATTGGGCCATAAGAGTCTTAACCAAATCAGTGTGTTAATCAAATGATAAGGATTAACTGGATGGTAACTATAGACAGGTAGGGTGTGGCTTGAGGCAGTGTGTCCCTGGGGGTGTGCCTTTGGGGTATATATTTAGTCCTTGTTGAGCAGAGCTCTCTCTCTTTCTTTGCTTCCTGGTGTGATGTCTTACCTTGGTCCCTGAGTAATGGAGCCACCTGTCTATGGGCCAACTTCTTCAACTATGAGCCCCCAAATAAACTTTTCCACCTCTAATATTGTTCTTGTCAGGTCTTTTGGTTGCAGCAACAAAAAAGTTGACTAAAACATTTTTCTTTCCTGTTGGAATGATGATCTGTCATAACCTAGAACATATGGATATTTCAGATGTCAAAACATTTTATGTTCTTTCACAATAGAAGAAGATAAAGCCCAGTAAAAGGGTAATAATCCCTTCAAGTGGTGAAATACCTCAAATACTTTAGTTTTCTAATTCACATCCTAGTGGTTGGCCTGGATGAAGTCATAGGCTTTTGCCAAAGTCTACAATTAGCATGGTGGCATCTAGCCAAAATTTAYAGGATCATTAAAGCACAGAGTCTGTAATGATGCAAAGAATCCAACTGGCCTTGGTTATTGAAGCCCCAAAAGAGGCTGGGGTAGCTTAAAGCTCCACTCAAATTCAGCTTGTTTCCTGGTAACTTTGGGATTAAGACTTAACATATTTCTAGGTAATTTCTCCATAAACCACACTTGATGAATTTTGTGCATCTTGTTTTAAGAAMTGACAAAGATAATTATTTATTTTTAGTTCTCTAAAAGATGTCTTTAGTGATCCTAATATGAGAATTTCACCATTTTCACTGGTCCCTGTATCTCAATTGGGTTAATCAGCCATTCTCTGTTGGTCATATCATGAATACACATTTGTAATACAGTGATGGTTTTGTCTTCATAGTGATATATTGGCATTATATATCAGTGCTTTTAATTGGATCAATCTAAGTCTTTTTTCACCAAGTTGCACTTGGTGAAATAGGAGAATTTAAGTAACCTTGTGGGAACATAGTAAAGATCTATTGGTGTCAATCTCACATGAATGGAAATTGTTTTATTTTTGAAAATAGAAACACAAAAGAATCATTAGCTAAATAGATCAAACCAATCTTCTTTAGCATATTGTTCAACTTAAATTATTCATATCTATGGAAGCATGGCTGATGTTTGTTTCTTGGGTACTAGATTATTAAATTTCATGAATCTTTTACTTCTTTTTAAAGTGAATTTTGAATACTGATGCCCCTGTATTGAACATATTGAAATTCAAAGTTCTTGAAGTTTCCTCTACTCTAGAGTCCTGTATTGTTTTTAAATTAACCTCATGTCTAGGATTAGGTAATTTTAAAGTTTCCTATCTAGCATGCTCAATTAAAATGGAAGAGAGAGAATATTTGTACAATTATTTGTTTCTCCAGTGGTTTGTGAAAGGAGTGTCTCCCATTCTGACATTACATCCATTTTGATATTAGAGAGGCTAGGTCCATATACAACATTTTTATATACAATCTTACTCTGAGTTCTACTTTTATCTTTAAGCTTTCTACAGTTGAATCATGGTATCACCCTCATTTAATCATATTTCCCTTTATCTTTTCCTTGGTATCACAGTATGTGTGCACTATTATTCAGCAATCCTGACATAGTTTTTTCACCATGTCCAGGCTAGTTGCCCATATTAATACAAAGATATCCAGTTCTCTGCTGGGACTTCTGCCAAGAGACCTTTGCCTTCTCATCACCTGAAACACACTTCTCTTATTTACCTTGCACCATTTTAATTTGTTTTTGCTCTGAGGGGTTTCAATACATTTTTAGTTCTTAAATTTTCCTTTTTCACTTCTATAATTTTGCATTGTTATGTTGGTTAACCAAAAGGTGATTTGCATGTTTTGTGTTATTTCTAACAAATATTCAACTTAAACTTTTGGTAAAATAGCAGTTCTAGAGGTTAATTACTAAATGGAAATTAGAATAATATAATAATTTAAAAACTTCCAGAAAAGATCCAAACTATGTGTTTAATTAGTTAGGTTTAATTATCTGTGTTACAAAAGTGCTCATCACAGAAGGAAATGCAACAGAAAAGACAGATGAGGAACTAATAAGATTTTTGAGTATTTATCCTAATTTATAAGGCAGTAGAAATCTTTGTACCAGAAAAAAATCAATCAATGCTTTGACAGTGTTTGTAGGACAACTTGAAATTAGTAAAATATTCCTCTTTTTTGCTCTCCAGATACAGAACAGGGTTGTTTGCCATCTTGAATGCAGTGCACATCTTTTTAAAACTGTTTGCTGCCTGTTGGAATAGCTCTAGGGCAAGTTCTAATTTATATCTGTTGGTTAGCAAGTATGTGATTCCTTGAGATGCAGCCTCAGTCTCAGTTTGGATCACTTGTAGAATTTCATGGAAATAACTAGAACTGTATCCTTCATTTCGTTGTTCTCTCATGTGTATTATTTCTTTAACCACATTCATAATTTGAGTTGTTCTCTTTATAATGTCTTTTTCAAATTCTTCCACAGGAGACCCATATGCTTGGGACTTTTGAGAAGTGAAAACATGTTTAGAATAATTGATAGAAAATGCTTTCTTTGTTTTACGGTACCTAATTTTGTTGACAATATTAGGATGCTGTTTAAAATGCTCTAGCAGAATGTTCTCTAGATCAATTTCAATATCAGGATCCTCAACAGATGGGGATAAGGGAGGCAGTAGAATGGAGATGTTCTCTGACCAGATCTTGTTGAACACATCCCTCAGTTCCTTATCATCTAACTCCATGCTCTTGGAGGACACAGCCATTCYCCTGATTTTTTCTAAGAACATATGTTCAAATTTTACTTTTTGCTCATTCCAAAGATCTTGTATTTTCTTTCCACTAGTCATAACCTCACATTTTTTTATTAGTTCTACTATAAGCTCCTCTTTAAGAGTCTTCAAATTGTTTTCAAATTTACCTTTCCACTGAGCTAATATATCTCTGTCTGTGTCTTCTCGAAAATACTTTTCAAATTTTTGCTTAATGGTTTCATGTTTTTCCACCACTTGTTTCTCTACTGAGCTTCTCTTGATCTCTTCAACTTCTCCATTCTGAATTTGGTTGGCTAGCTGTTTCTGCAATTCTAGCACATGACTTCTCAGCTCCCAGGTCCAGCTGTTGTACAAGGTCTCTAGTTTATTCATGACCATAACCTCCTTGGTGTTCCTGAACCTGAAGATGAAGTTCTCATTCATTAAAGTCTTCCATAAATCCCGTATCCGGACTTTAAGTTCTGATAACTTTAAAATATTTCCCCTGGATTCTTCTTTGGCAAGGTTAAGAATCCGGCTTTTCAGCTCCTGGACATTTTGGCTATAAGAAGGGTTGGGAGGGGCCATTGGGGGATAACCTTCCCAGAGACAAGCAAAGTAATGGATGTGGGTCTTGACATCAAACTTAATGATATCATTGAACTGGCATACATCTGGGCACTGTTCATATCTGGAAGCAGCAAGGGCCATTCCATCCAATTTCTCTTGCAGCCATCTTCGCCTTGCCATATTTTGATTTGTATCTATAACTTCTTCTATATTTTGATGAACAAATAGGCATCTTGGGGAGATAGTCAGTTGTTTCATCCTGAGAAAGGCATGGACAGCTATTTGCAGAATATCTTGCATTTCTGAAAGATTCTTTCCAAAAATATTGATCAGAGTTAAGTTTCCAAGTCCAATGACAAAGGTTGCCAACTCATTTTTCTTAACCTGTGCTTCATTGATGAGCTGTGGAACCTTAAGTCCTTCTGAGTCCACAACAAGCACAAAATCAAAGCCCAGCTGTTCTCTGAGCATCTCTTCCACCTTCAGAAGCTGCATGTAGGCCCCCCGGGTACACCTCCCAGCACTGAGACTAAACTGTAGGCCAAACATTGCATTTAGCAATGTGGACTTCCCTGAGCCCTGCAAGCCAAGGACAGAAAGAACAAACACCCGTTTTTCTCCAAGTTTCTCAGAGACCTTGTCAAAAACAGCTGCCACCCATTTCAAGGGCACATATGAAGCATCTCCATCCATCAATTCAATGGGAGCCCCAGATACCATCAGATCAGCAGCCATTTGGGGAAGGGAGAGAAATAGTGTATTTGTTTGGGAGGAAGCTTYTTCCAGAGCTTCATAGATCTGGCCCACCTCTCTCAGGAAGTGCTCAATTCCTAGGGTGGAGTCACTGATCTCTTTGGAAACATCTTCTAATTCAGCCTCCCAGAGTATGAGGGAGTCAGTCTTTGACTGCTTCTGCTTCTCTGTTTGCACTTGAGCCAACAAGAAACTGTGCCTCTGGTAGAGTGTTTCTAAGTCTTTCTTGCTTAGTTGTTCCATGAACATACTTAGCCTTTGCAGAAAATAGAGCTCCATGTGAGTTTCTGGGTGTGACTGAAGACCATCAAGAAGGGAATTCATTAGGTTATTAAGGTCAATAACTTTGTGATATTGTTCACAGCGTATTTTTTGCTTTTCCTTCTCAATCTCATTTTTGTATTGTTCAATGCTCCGGTTCCCTTTTTTTCTCACTTGATAGAATTCCTTATCCTTCTTGCACCAATCATACCATAGCTGTCCCTGAAGGGGAAGCAATTTTTCTTTTCTCTGAGATAATTTCACTTTCMCCAGGAGATCCATGATGATGTCAGCCTTTTTTCCTGCTTCTTGACAATCTCTTTGATCCTCATCAATTATAAATTCATACTTCCTAGCAATGTTGGCACAGTTATTCAAACTGCAAGGAGATGTAGAATCCTTCAGCAAGTTTTTTAATGTAGCTGTAATTTTGTCAGCTAATTCTACCTTATTTAGATTCTTGATACCAATTCTTACTTTGTGAGGATCACACTTCTCATCCACAATGTTTTCTACATTTTCAAATAAACAGATGAGTGGTTTGAGTGATTTAAAAAATTCAGGTAGAATGGAACTCTTCATTTTTTCTATGTCAGAAGTTGATAGGAGAAGTATAGTAACTGAGGAGACCTCAAGCAAGAACTTCACTTGCTTCTCATGCATTTCACCATTTCCATGGAGACTGGTGAAGGCAATACAGTTTTCAAATCTGTCCTCAGCTCTTCCACTTGGACAGAACCAGCATATTTCCACAACCCCTTCCATCAAAAGACAGCTGTTATTGTCTTTCTTAGAATGATGGTGAAAAAAATTGTCATGTTTGCCCTTACTCAGGAGTGAATTCAGAATCTGTGACTTGGAAGTGGAGACAGAATTTCCAACTCTTATGAAAGATACAATGGGGGTAGGTTGCCAGCAAATCAGTTGATTATCATAATCCCTAATTTTTTTCTCCCAACCTATTTTTTCCACCTCTTTCCAGCTTCTCCTGACTTGCCTAAGAGACCAAAGAGGGAATTCAATTTGGTGATTACAAGGATTGGGAACCAAAAATGGGAGAGCAAATTGACAAATGGAAAGTTTGGTCACCATATACTGTCTTGTAAAATCATCTGCACAGTGAAAAATTGCCATTTGTATGTCCATTGGGTGAATGCAATTTGGTATTATGGTTGTATGCRCTTCTTTGATAGTGAAAAAGTCTTCAAATGTTGGCAATTTCCTCTCTGATTCTGTAGTTTTCGGTGTCTGGGATACATTAGAAGTTGTTTCTATCTTACCTCTGTAAACTAGGTACCTTGAATGGTAATCTAATACCAAGAGTTTCTCTAAAAAACAATGTGGTAGTTCCCCCTCAGCTCTTGGTTGACTGCCAAGGAAGGAGGTCTTATTTATCAAAAGATAATTGACTTTGGACATCTTCTTGGGATAATAGCATTCTAGATTAAGCCTTCTGATCAAGTCATGAAAACGTTGATTTTTAATTGTTACTTCTTTATCATTGCATTGTTGAATATCTCTGGGAAGAGGAGTAAATCCGCTGGATGGTTTCTTTGGGTTAAAAATTTTTTTAAGTTTCTAGAAAGGAACAGAAACAATGTTAATGGCTATTGACACTCTACAATAAAGAGATTTAGTTAAACTTATAATTTATTCATGCATGAATATATTCTTCAGCTTTCCAAAAATAAATTGAGTCCTTCTATGTGCTAGGTAATGGGCTGACCAAGGGATGAAGTATAATTCAGAATCCAACCTTGAAGGGCTTAAAACTTAATAGTGAGAGTTTTAAACAAGCATGTAGTCAATCATACTTCACTGTTATGCAAGTTAAAACACAAATGCACTGGAAACACATTTGAAAAAGTGACTAGATTTTCTYGGTAGATAAAAGTGAGAAGACTACTCGACTTTTGTAGCAGATCATCATGAAAGTTGATAGGAAGAAAAGAGASTCTAAGAAGAAATAGGAAGGAACCTACCATAAGAAAGATGCTTGTGCGAGTTTTATTATGGAATGAAATGGATTTTTCTCAGGCAGAAGAGTGGTAGGTGGGGGCATCTTAGATAAAGAGAACAGAAAAGTCAAGGCAAAGATGTGTGAAAGTTGGGCATATTAAGGTAACAGAAAGAAATTTTGAATATGTGAGCAGAAAAAAAATGTAACTAGTGAGGAAAACTGAAAGGAAAAAAATTGAACTTTATTCAGTAACTTTTGACTTTGATAATCTAACATTATTATTATTATTATTCTAATTTTGGAGAGAAATGATTCATAAAAATAAAGAAATGTGTTCGCAGTGATACAGAAATGAAGAGGGAGATGGACCTCTTTGGGACCTTGCTCTTCTCTAGGAAAACTTGGAGGCATGTTGGTGCCAACTTGGAAAGACTATGGTACCCAGTAGACTACTAGAGTTAGTAAGTCTCTGAGATGTAGACCATGGTTATGACCTAGGCACTCCACTCCATTCTAGGGCAAGCATATGTGCCCCAGAGTTGATTACAAACCTTAGAAATAGTTAGATTCTGCTTTTCCTCATCTGGTCCTGCTTCATTCTCTTGTTTCCTCTTGTTTGGCTTTTTGCCACACTTTCCAGTGGAAGATCCAGCTTTGAAGGGAAGATAATGTTAATTAATCTCTCAATTAAGAAAGCATGAAGAGGCTTTTTCCTCAYCTACAACCACTAGTTTGGAACCAAMAGTTTGACATAAATAATTGTGATGTCAGATATAAAAATGGCACAAAAACAACAATAATCATTTCAGAGTAATTGGGGCATTGCTGATAGAGTGTTCTCCCTCCCTATTATAAGATTTTTTTTCATTAGGATTCTTATATTGAACACTTGGAGCATGTATTTTAATAAGATGTATCTAATCTTATTCATTTCAATATATTTTTTGAAGTTTTAATTCCATGTCTTGAATGCGTTTTTAGGCAGTCCTTATAACTACTCCATTAATATTTAAATAAAAAAGATATCCAATAAGTCCTATTCAAACTTCAAATTTCAGTATTTGATTTAAAGCTGAGGATGCCATTCTGACTGAAGTGAGGTGGAGTCTTACYRTAGTTTTGATTTGCATTTYCCTARTTGCTAGAGATGTTGRAATTTTTCATGTATTTAWTGGCCATTTGTATTTCTTYTTTGAGAAATGTCTGTTTAGTTCTTCTGCCAATTTATTGATTSGGTTATTTGTATTTTTGAAAATCACACACACTTAATGTAGGCATCTTAACCCAAGACTGTAAAACTCCTTGAAGAAAACACAAGTGGAAAACTTCTTGACATTGGTCTTGGCAGTTACTTCTTAGATGTGACAGCAACAATATAGGCAGTGAAAACAAAAAAAGAGTAAAAGAGCCAGGTGCAGTGGCCCACACCTGTAATACCAGTGGTGTGRGAGGCTGGGGCAGGAGGATTGCCAGTTATAGTGAATGAAAGTTTAACAGGAAGATGAATGTTTATGCTTGATGGAGATACATCTAACTAAAAAGCTCCTGCACATTAAAGGAAGAAAATAACAGAGTGAAAAGACAACATATGGGATGGGGGAAACTATTTACAAACTAACTATCTGATAAGGTGTTAATGTCTAAAATATATGAGAATCTCCTACAACTCAATAGCAACCAACAACCCCCCCCAAGAACACCCCCCCAAAACAAACTGATTTAAAAAAAGAGCAAAAGAGTCAGGTGCAGTGACCCACACCTGTAATAGCCTCAGCTCCAGAGGTTGGGGCAGGAGGATTGCCAGTTCAAAGCCAGCCTCGGCAAAACGAGGTGCTTGGCTGGGGTTGTGGCTCAGAGGTAGAGCGCTCACCTAGCATGTGTGAGGTCCTGGGTTCAATCCTCAGCACCACATAAAAATGAAATAAAGATGTTGTGTTTACTTACAACTAAAATAAATAAATATTGAAAAAAAGTGAGGTGTTAAGCAACTCAGTGAGACMCTGTCTCTAAATAAAATACAAAATAGGGATGAGGATGTGGCTCAGTGGTCGARTGCCCCTAARTTCAATCCCTGGTAATTCCACCTCCAAAAAAATTGAGCAAAAAAATTAAATAGAAATTTCTCTAAAGAAGACATAAAAATGGCCATTAAACACATTAGAGAATGCTCTACCTCAACAGTTATTAGGGAAATTCAAATCAAAACCACATTGAGGTGCTACTTAAACTCATTAGGATGCATGAAATCAAATAAATGGAAAATAACAGGTGCTGGAGAGGAGGTAATGAATTAGGAAATTTGTACATTGTTGGAGATAATGCAAAACAGTTCAGCTACTATGGAAAACACTTTGGTGTTTCCTCAAACATTAACTATAARATTATCATATAACTCAGCAATTCTACTCCCAAGTATACACCCCAAAACATTGAAAATAGGTACTCAAACAAGTTATTTGTATGTATATATTGCCATAATAGCACTATTTTACTTAGCCAAAAGGTAGAAACAGATCAAATGGAAAACARAGTGTGGCAAATACTTAAAATGGAATACTATCTACACATAAAAGGCATAAAGTGCTGATACATGCCACAATGTAAATGAAGCTCAAAAACATACTAAAGTGAAAGTATCTAGGCACAAAATTCACACTGTATGATATCATTCATATGAAATATCCAGAATATATAAATAYRTATAAATATACAGAACACAGATTTATGGTTTCCAGGGTCTGGGAGGAGTAGGGAGGGTAAAGGGAGGAAACTGTTTAATGGGTAAGGGGCTTAACTTTAGAGTAAAGRACATTTTTTGGAACTGGACAGGTGATATTTACACAACATTGTGAATGTACTAAATGCCATTGGATTGTTCCCTTTAAAATTAACAAATAAAACAAAGGTATTGTGTCCATCTACTATATATATATTATATATAATATATTATATGTATGTATTATATATATATAATTTTATTTTATGTGCATTTGAGTTCAGTAAATTATTTTTTTAATGAAGCAGCATGAAACATAGCTCCTTTTATAAATGATGCTGTCATGTCTATGTGGAATTAATTACAATGAAGAWTTCAGGGAAAGTCCTGAATCATGTCTGGCAAACGAAGGGGTGGATTAGTTTTAAACTTACATTCTTCTATGAATTTGCTGATCTTCTCTGCCAGGCTGCGCTGGTTTATGGCTTTCAGGACCTCGTGGGTCACAGTCTTCGAGTATTCTTCCCCATAATATTGGATCAATAGGTCGGCWAGTGTGAGTGCGTTTGCTTGCTGCAGAGTGCCCCTACGAATGTGGTCATATCCTGCAGCAAGAGGTATGCTTGTCAGTCGGAATTTGAACTTTGACAATTCCTCCTCGATGAGGTCCTCAAGGATGGTAAGAAGGAATGCCTTTGATGTGCTTTCCATTCTGCACAGTTGAATCCTGAGGAAATGATGTCCTTRAAGTTACTGACCTGAAATGGATTATCACATGAATGATGGGAATTACATGAGGCAAGTGCTTGAAGAGAAGTCAGAAAAAGAGAAGTAGAGGGGAGATCAGTAATGTTTTGCTGAAAAACAAAAACAAACCCTGGTCCTCAGAAGATGTGCCTATGRTATATATTCCTTACATAGAAGATATTTGTCAAAGATTCAGAACAATTTATCTGCCTTCCCTTTTCCACACAATCTTGCTGTATCCCTAGAATTCCCAAGATTATCTATTAGATGATATCTGTTTGTGGAGAATGGAATGAGATAGGATCCTATGGAGTGGGAAGTATGTTATTTCCTAGTAGACACTTATTTCTTAGTAAAGAAGTAAGTGAATTATAAGCAGTTACAATGAATGAAAGTTTAACAGAAAGACGAAGATACTTATGCTTGTATTTCTTGTGTGTCTTGGGTGGAAGGCAGTTTTTTTTAGGAGATTTTATTTGCATATGAAAATTGGGACAAACAATAGGAATAGCAAAAATTAGTTCTCTGATTTCTTGGTATTCAATARAATCTTTACCCTTCTCCTGTGATTCCTACTCTCATTTGCTTCTCTCATTACTCTCATTCCTACTCTCTTTGTCCCAAGCTGAAAAATAACTTTTCTAGGTGTGTAAGTRTTTGAAATTAAAGCCATTATCACCATCTTTTATCAGTAATATTGCTGTCTTCTCCAACCCA